TATTTGTCAATCATATCTCAATATAATGGGAAAATATTTTTAATTTATAAAATAATGTTACTTGATTTTGAAGTGGTTACTTTTGGAAGTAGATTGACTTAAAAAAATTTTTTTTCTTTATTGATTTTTAGAGAGAGGAAGGGAGAGGGAGAAAGAAAAGCATTGATGAGAGAGAATATTGACTGGCTGCCTCCTGCATGCCTCCTACTGGGGATTTGGCCCACAACCTGGGCATGTGCTCTGACTGGGAATCGAACCCGCTACCTCTTGGTGTATGGGTCAATGCTCAGCCAGAACCACACTGGCCAGGCAGTAGTTTGACTTTTGAGGTGTCAAGTTCAAGTTTTACTGGATGTGCATTGTGGTTTTTTAAAAATTAAATTTGTTGGGATATTATTGGTTAATAACTATGTAAATTTCAAGTGTACAACTTTATAATACAACATCTGTAAACTCTTTTTTGTGCTCACCTCCTGAAATCTAGTTTCCTTCCATCACTATATATTTGACCCCATTTACATTCTTTATTCCCCCCCATACACATTTTTTCTCCCCTCTGTTGCCTGTATCTGGAGTTTGCTTTTTTTGGTTTGTTTGTTCATTTGATGCCTTTTGTTCTGTATCCCAAATATGAGTGAAATCATATGATTCATGTCCTTTTCCATCTATTTCACTTAGCATCATACCTTCAAGATTTATCCATGTAATTGCAAATGACAATATTTCATCCTTTTTTATGGCTGAGTAGTATTTCATTGTTATATGTACCACCTCTTCTTTATCCAATCATCTGTTGAAGAATGCATTGTGTTTTTTTTTGTTTTTAGTACGTGCCCCTAGCAGGAACAGAACCCGGGACTCTCTGGTCCGCAGGCCGACGCTCCAACCGCTTAGCCAAACTGGCCGGGGGCATCATTGTGTTTTGATTTACACAAACTTTATAGGTACAATGACATTTGAAAATTTTTTAAACCAGTGGTGGACAACAATGTTACTCAAGCACTTAAAACAAAATATACATATAGACAGGCCATTTGTTAATGGTCTCCTTTTCAAAGAGTTTATCTTGAGATAAAAGTACATGTTATTTGCTCTGGATTCAAACATTTGTTTTTATATTTCTAAATATAAGGTTTTCTGCAAATTTTTTTTTTTATCCTCACCCAAGGACATTTTTCCATTTTTTGTTCAGATAGAGTGGAAGGGGGAGAGAGAGAGAGAGAGAGAGAGAGAGAGATATCAACATGAAAGGGACACATCAAGTGATTGCCACCAGCACAACCCAACCAGGGCCGGGAGCAAACTGCAACCGAGGTACGTGCCCTTAGCGGGAACTGAACCCAGGTCTCTCTGGACCACAGGCTGACACTCTAACCGCTGAACCAAACTGGCCAGAGCTGCAAAATTTTTATACATAAGTCAATAGATAAAATCTGTCACCACTGGCTTATATCACAAAAGCACACACCCACCTACCCAAAAAGGAAGGCCTAGTTAACTTAATTGGCAATATTTACAATGCTTTCAGATGGGCTTTAGTCCCTGGGCAACTGGAAGGTTAGAGTTTTCCTGATTTGCTCTACCTGATGAAATTTGTTGCAGTCTAGGTAATAGTGCACTTTAAAACAATGCAATTAACTGTGATTTTTTGTTGTTGTTGTTCCATTCATCTGTACAGAAGAGAGACCTCTAGCACTTTTGTATAGAAGAGTTAGCTTTGATTTTCTCCAAAGTATTACACAGCATATTTTTCTTTGGTATAGCATGGTATGGGATGCTCTTGCCACCTTTCCCATTGCAATTTCGTTTGTTTGTCCAAAAATGATGGATTGTGGTTTAGGACTACAAAGGAAGTCACGAAGGACAGAAATGTATTAGACATGACCCCATTAATTCTATAGCTTATATTCCATTAAAAATAGTAAGACAATACACAAATAATTCTAAAACTATAATGTTAACGATTGCTATTATAAGAGAAATGTAAGCATTAAAGTGGAAACAGTTGATTCCCTAGCTGATTAATGTCAAGGACTTAATTTTAACTGGCTTCAAATTGGACTGAACTGGAAACGAAGTCGCCAACTCTTAATGTTCTAGCCACAGAAGTTAGAACAGAGAGAAAAAAGGGAGGGAGGGAGGAAGGAAGGAAAAAAGAAATAAATCTTCATGGCACATTGACTTGAAGGTACACAAAAACCATTGAGGCTACTGGAAATAATCTACACTGTGATAAAATCTGAAGCCAAGGTAAAAGTTGAGTTTACCTAAGAACACCTGGAAGCCTGCTAGAAAAGTCGCATTTTAGGTCCCATTCCAGACATACTGAATTAGAAACTTTGGAGGTGGCGCCCAGCAATCTGTGTTTTAATAAGCTCTCCAGGGGATTCTGTGCACACTACAGTTTAAAAGTCGCTGGGACTGAACGAAGATGGAACAAGGCTAAGGACTCCGGTTTGCTGTCTACAGAATTTCAGAAGCTAAAAAGAAGTCTCAAAGTTGGAGAAGATCCATGAAAGCCAAACATCCATGGAAGCCATAGGAGGCAGTAATTTCAAGGAGATAGTCAATACTATTGTCAAATGCTGCAGGAAGTTTAGTACCAGTTGGGGCATTTGTACTACTTTACAAAGTGTGACCTTGGGCAAACCTCTTAATCTTTCTGAGCCTCAATTTGCTCACCTGTAAAATGACTCTGCAATCATGCTCTTTCAAACTTTATATGGCTTTTGAGTGAATCAAATTAGATATTCCATGTCAATTACAGAACAATACAAAAACTCATGAAGTAACTAAACTTTCCATGCCATAGCCATTAAATCTGGCCATAGTTCTAAAACATGACCTCAGTGCTAATGCTCTCGGTGATTTTGATAACTCTCATATACCTGCATGAGTTAAGTGATGGTAGAGCAGATACTGGAGGATAACTTGACTAGATAACAAAAATATACCAGCCTGGCCGGTGTGGCTCAGTGGTTGAGCGTCAACCCATGCACCAAGAGGTCGCCAGTTTGATTTCCGGTCAGGGCATGTGCCCAGGTTGTGGGCCTGCTCCCCAGTGAGCATGCAGGAGGTGGCCAATCAATGTTCTTTCTCATCAATGTTTCTACCTCTCTCTCCCTCTCTAAAAAAGAAAAGAAGAAGAAGAATGTACCAGTCCTGAGGGACTGGTGTGGGTCTAGACTTTTAGAATAGCACCCTTGGCATCTAGAATCTGAGGGAAAGGGGAGAAATAATACACTTAACTAACCTGGATGCTATATGAGTCCTGAGATATCAAAAGGAGATAAATGAGGAGAGAAGCAATGCCAACTTTTGCATATGTCACAATACATTCTCTAATAAACCCTACAGCCCTGTATGGTTCCTTCTCAGCACATAGATTAATTAAACAAACACACAACAAAAAGCACAAATCAAACAATCCAAAATAAAGTACAAAAGAATCATATCATTAAAGGAGACCCTATTTATAAACCATAGCAACCCTGTTTTTAAGCCCACCCTTTCAATCCTAAATTCTCCTACATTCTACAAATGCTCCAGACTCCCTTATAAATCTACATAATTTCTGCCAGCACTCCAAACTTCTCAGATTAAGTCCTGCCACCTTTCTTACTGCTCCAGTCCCCCAGTTTGCCAGGTGTCTCTTCCTTGGAGAGATTAGGCTGATGGAAGATTGGACAAATAGGGGTAAGAAAAGGAATTATCCATCTTACTTTTATAAACCTTGTCCTGATCAAAATCTCCCTTGGTTCAGTTTGGGTGATGCTTTTGTTGGTGAGGGTTGTCAGGTTTAACTAATTTTCCTTGCCCATAGTCAAAAAGAAAACTCCAAGTTTCAAATTCATTTTGCTTATGTTATTTGGAGCAGCAATGACTTTATACACTATAATTGTAAAATGATAGTGCTCTGTGATATTAGTCAAAGGCTACTGGAACATCCTACCAGGGAATAATTCACATTGCCTGTGGAGTAAGGGAGGACTCAAGAACCTGGTATTCCTGAACTGCATTTTGAAGACATGGAAATTCATGGAATACTCAAGGAATACTATCTCCGTCAGGATGGAGTATGGAGTGAATGAGGAAAAGTAGCAGAAAAGGCAGGCCAAAGTCACATTACAGAGGGCTTTAAATTCTTTGCTAAGAAAGTTGGACTTGGTAGGTGAGGCTTTCTTTGACTCATCTCTGCAAATGGCACATGGGGGCTTTTTCCTAAGCTATCACAATAGACACACGTTTATTTGTGTGCCCATTTTATTGCCAGCTTCTTTAAGGCAGGGATATCTTTCCATCTTGTGTTCCTGAAGCCTTCTAATGACCCACAAAAAGGTGTGCTAGATGGTTTGAGTGATTGGAGAACTGACATTCATAAATGAAGATTACAGGCGGTTTCACAGTAAAAGCATTAGCATTAAAGGTTCAGTGACATCAAGACACTATACTGATTACCATTCAAGCTAACCTTTTGTGGTGATTTATTTATTTAAAAATCTATATTAAGGTGGTCAACGCAACATCCCATAAATTGCCATAGAAACTATCAACTTTATTTTTTCCTTAGCTGATTTTTCAAAGGGTCAGTGATGTTTTAAAGGGGTAAAGGTAAAAGCTTGGAAAAGGTGGAAACTGTAAAAATTGTGTTGCTTGCATGACCTTTGCTCAGCCTTTTGTGGAGTACAGATAAGGATTATCTGGATTATCTGCAAGGCAATGGATAACCCAGCAAATGCTGGAGAGATACCAGCCCAGTCCTACTACAGAGTGGACAATGGGCCTGATAAAGTACATCAGCAGGAACTGCCAGCAGCTAATAGTAGAGTATATAACTGACACCCCCTCCTCAACCCTGATTCCAGGCTGAACCCTTTTGTCTCAGCCCACCTGCACTCAATAAAGCCATTTTGCTCTACATTGGCCTTGCTTTGTGGATGTGATCTCCCGAAGGCTCAGATCTTTTAATTTTATCCAGCAGGGAGTGTTCTGAGAAGACCTCGGTCAAGACCCAGAACGTAGGAGGTACCCGGTTACCATACCACTTGACAAGGAGTATAAGCAGGATTCAAATCCCTAAATCCCTACAGCAAACCAGCCGGCGGAACCAAACTTCTGACCCTCCAGTTTCCTGGAGGTCACGCGAGTGTGTTACGAGAAGTCGATGGCTTTTGCCTGGCGGAGGCCTGACAGGAGCGGACTATGCACCGGAAGCAGAAGGAAGGAGGTGAGTGTCGATGTCCCCGTCTGGAGGGAACCTGAGCCGAGACTCGGGAGGCCGCGCCGTGCCTGCTTGGCCGGGTGTCCACGCGGGTCTGAGAGTTCCGAGATGGTTTCCCCCGCGGTAACGCGCGCCTTGCGCAAGAGCAAGACCCTTCGCTACGGGGTCCCCATGTTGGTGAGTGCCTGGAGGAAGAGTGCGGGGCGGGATCGCGGGAGGGGGGGACCTCCTGTGTGGCCGGGCGAAGCGGCGGGGAACTGAAGCGAGAGGCGGGCGCAGTAGCCTGGGCTGGGAAAGGGCTGGCGGTAGGTCCGGAGCTTTTCGGCAGCCCTATCCCAGTCTCCTCCGACCGGTGAGACCTCGAGCCCCGCCTCCTACCTTTCTTGGCGCTTCAGAGAGCGACGTAAGAACCGAATTTTAATCCATATCTGAATAATTACTAAGCAAACACACAAACACATCAGCCTCTCCAGCTTGACGATCCGATCACTGGAATTAGACGGATTTACTTAATTTAATTGTACACTTTCCTGCATATCCATTTCTCAGCTTTCTAGTTTGTGAACTGGCATCGTTCTTCCAAGGTTGCTGAGTTAAAAAAAACAAAAAACACCTTGTGAATGTTTAGCAAGGCACCTGCCACGTTGTAGCAGCCCTTAAAAGGTCACAAGGTAGCCGAGCCGGTGTGGCTCAGTGCCCTAAGAGGTCGCTGGTTCCATTCCCGGTCAGGGCACATGCCCAGGTTGCGGCCAAATCCCCAGTGTAGGGCATGCAGGAGGCGGCCAGTGATGTTCTCTCTCATCGATGTCTCTATCTTCCTCTCCCTCTCCCTTCCTCTCTCTAAAAATCAATGAAGAATTTTTTTTTTTTTTTTTTAGAAAAGGTCACAATTAATATTTTTGAAACACTCAGTAGCTCCCTTCCCAGAAATCTGGGACAAAGACCAGATGATTTTTTCTAATATGACATGCAGGTACTGTGATTACAGTAGTCCAGGAAAGAGATGATAGTGGCCTGGACTACAGTATTAAAAGAGGATATAGGCAGAAATGGTCAGATTCAAGAAGTATTTTGAAAAGTAGAGGTGACAGAACAGAGGGATGGATTAAATGTGGGATAGGAATAAGAGGAGCTGCAGATGACTCCAAAGAAGTAATTGGCATTTTCTGGGATGTGAAAGATCGGTTAGGGGCAGGTTGGGGCAGAAAGAGTGTTGGGGTAAAAATCAAGAGGCTTTAAAAAAAAAAGTTGTGTGTACACACACACACACACCCGTTAGACTTTTAAGTAGAGATGTCAAATAGAAAGGCAAGTCTATAGTTCAGGGGGATATTTTCCATTGAAAATGTATATTTTGAGGTTGTTGGGTTATAGAGACTATTTTTAAACCCCTGGAACTGGAAGACATCACCTAGGGACTCAGTGTTGGTGGTGAATAGGTAGAAGTGTGAAGATTGGAAAGGTGAGGAATGAATAGAGGGAAACTGAGGAGTTAGGAAAACCAGGGGTGTGTCTTTTCATTGAAACTAAAAGACAAAAATTATTTCACTTTGCAAAGAATTCTTACATACTGACATTGCAAATATTAGCTGCTTATGTATAACAGACATATACCTAATTTGTTGTCTTTTGATTTGTGTTGTTTTAATTTCATATATTTGTCGGGATAGATGTTTTAAGTTTTTATGTGGTCAGATTTATTGGGTTTTGAAATTCATAGTCTAAAGGTTTTATTGGTATTACAACTTCAAAATTATAAAATTTTGTATTTCATGATGATTTATGTATTTTTGTATTTCTTTAATTAGTAATACTATATTGATATGAAAAAGAAAGTATGGATCAAACTTAATGTTTTTTCAAATTGCTAAATTTTTGCAGCTTAAGGATAAGGAATTAAAGTGCATTAAATTATTGGAGGCGGTGATAAAGCAGCAATGACAATTCAAGGGCTCTTTTAAAGTTGACTACATACTGAGAAATATGGCATATTTCATGAGATTTTTTTTTTGGTACGTGCTCCTAGCAGGAACTGAACCCGGGACTCTCTGGTGCAAAGGCCAGTATTCCAACCACTGAGCCATACTGGCCAGGGCTCATGAGATTCTTTATCACTCGGTAAGGATATGGAGAAAAAGGCTCTGCCAGTTGGCTTATTTTATAAAATTATAAACTTGAGAGAATTCTGGTTTTAAAGAAGCAAGGCCAGAATTTCATTCCTGGCATTATCTATTGTGATCATGGACAAGTAATCTATAAAATGGATTTTTTCTTTAGCTCATAGGTCTTTTGTAAGGATCAACTAATATAATGCTTGTGATGATATTATTTAAACCATAAGGTCAACTATAGTCTATAGGTAGAGTGAATTCTGTCCTTCTGTTTTGTTTAATTGTTTTCTTTCTTTGTTTCAGTTGTTGATTGTTGGAGGTTCTTTTGGTCTTCGTGAGTTTTCACAAATCCGTTACGATGCTGTGAAGATTAAAGTAAGACTATAATTGGAGTTTGACATGTGTCTGTGTATATGTATGTTCTGGTTTATATGTGTATGCTCTGTATATTAAGCAGTCTGAGCTTTGTCTAGCTTTTCAAGACTGATACATGATGATTGGGCTCTTATTCTTTAAAATAACATTACCAATCACATGGAAATGAATCATGAAATGTGAAGAATTTAGTAATCTTTCTTCTTATTCACTAGAAATTGTCAATGTTGTTAGCTTTCTGCCACAACATGCACTCTGATGTAGGTTTTAGTATTTGGAAGGGATTAAAGAATACGGGACAACAATTTTATTACTTAAGTTGTAAATTAGCTGTTTAATAGTAATACCAGTAATTTTATAAATTATATTACTATGCATCTGTAGTGATACTAAAAGAAAGAAAAGTTAATTTTTATTATAGTTATGCCTTTTTTTTTTTTTTTAATCCTCACCCGAAGACATTTTTCCATTTTTTGTTCAGGTAGAGTGGGAGGGAGAGAGAGGAACAGAGAGAGAGAAACATCGATGTGAAGGGACACATCGAGTGGTTGCCACCCGCACAACCGACCAGGGCCGGGGACAAACTGCAACCGAGGTACGTGCCCTTAGCGGGAACCGAACCTGGGTCTCTCAGGACTGCAGGCCGACGCTCTAACCGCTGAGCCAAACTGGCCAGGGCTATAGTTATGCCTTTTTTTAAAATTATTTATTTTATTTTTTTTATCCTCACTCGAGGACATTTCTTGTATTTATCTTCAGATAGAGCAGGAGGGAGAGAAGGAGGAAGAGAGAGAGAGAGAAACATCAACGTGAGAGAGACACACCGAGTAGTCACCATCCATACAACCCCAACCAGGGCCAGGGACAAAATGCAACCTAAGTATGCGCCCTTAGCGGGAACTGAACCCAGGACTCTCTGGTCTGCGGGCCAACGCTCTAACCACTGAGAAAACCGGCCAGGGCTAGTTATGCCTTTTTATAGGTAGGCCTTTGTGGTAGGACTGTACTGGTTTATAACTATATAGTTGTCTTTATTTTACAGGTGAGGAAACTGAAGCTCAGAGGGCTTAAGTAACTTGCCTAAGGTCACATGGCTGTTGAGGGGTAGAACTTGTATTCCCACTGTTTGTGATTACACAATTACTGTAAAATTCAAGCCAAGTATTACACAAGAACTCTGGTTGATTGATAAGTAGGCAGTTTTTGTTTGTGGCACACATCTGATGTTGGAGGTTTTTCCAAGTAATATATATATTTCATTAGCAGACATCAGTAGTGTGGGTGCGAGAGTAAAGAGTATCAAAGGTCTATTTAATTTCTTCAGTTAATTTTATGCTTTAAGAGAAATACCAACTCTAGCAAGTCTTAAAGACAATAGGTATTAGAATAAATAGTACGTTTAAAAAGAATATGTAATTTCTATAAGGGAATAGAACAATCATCAACTGTGTTAAAAAGTTTCTGTTAGCATCCCAATTATTTTATTGAGGACATTTTTTTCCCTTTTGCTTTAAGATGAAAGTTATAATAATTTGACTTTCGGAAGTGGGGTAACATGTACATATTTGAAAAATAATTGAATATTTGTCTTATGTTTATCATGTGTTAGATCCTACAAATAAAGATTTAAGAAACTGGTTCTTACAAAGCTTCAGCATAATCGAGGCTGGAAGACATCTAAATATAAATGTGTACCCAGACATAGAATATAACAGTGCCCAGAAAAATGCTATATTAGAATTTTGCATAAAACAATTAATAGAAGTTCAAGAGAGGCATACAGTTTAGACTTGGGAAAGGGGTATTTGAGAAGATTTGCTAGGGTATCAACCTTTGAATTAAGGTTTTTAGAGTGAGAGCTAAAGACCTAAATGGTGGAAATTATTAATATTCTATAATATAGAGGGAGTATTAGGCATATGGTCAGATTTTCATCTTAGAAATATCTCTCTGGCAACAAGAATATAGGGTGGATGGTATTTGGGGGAAGCAAGATCGAAGGGAAGACATTGTTTCAACTGGAGGTGGAGGGACCAGTTAGGATGCTTTAGCAGTAGTATAGATGAATAATAATGGAACCTGAAATAAAACATGTGCATTGAAGATAGAGAGAAGTAAATGGGTTCCAGAAAAAAGTTTAGCAGCAAATTGGTAGTATTTGATGACTAATGTGATATATATAATATAAAAATATGAATAAGTCTCAGAAGACTCAAGGTTTTGGTTTTGAGGAGTAGATAAATGATAGTGGTAATCACTTAGTTAAGGAGAAAAATGAGCCCGGCTGGTGTGGCTCAGTGGTTGAGCATCGACTTATGCACCAAGAGGTCGCCAGTTCGGTTCTCAGTCACGGCACATGCCCAGATTGTGGGCCGAACCCCCAATTGGGGGCATGCAGGAGGCAGCCAGTCAGTCAGTGTTCTCATCGATGTTTCTGTTTCTCTCCCTCTCCCTTCCTCTCTCTCAAAAGTACATAAAGAAAAAATTTTTTAAAAAGAGAGAAAATGAGGGAGATTGGGATAACAGGAGGTCTTGAGGATGGGGTTAAAGTAAAGATAACAAAGTTAGGTAATAATGAGAGAAAGAGGTAGATTGAAGTCAGCAGAACAAGGTTGAGAGGTATGGTTGGTCAAGGTCTATGGAAGGAGGCTGAGACGACAGTTAGCTGTGAAGGATCAGAGGGTAAGACCTACTGAGATGGAGAAGTCCAGGTTGGTTGATGTTTAGAAGTCAAACTGAGGTGAAGTTAAGAGTCAGTGATTGAGTGAGGTCGTGTTCAAACAGTGTAGAGAGGATAAGGTAGACTAAATTTGAGAGGATCTCAGAGGATAAGATTGGTTAAGGTTGACAGGTGTTACAAGGGTTGAGGTTGAGGTCAAGGAGGACTCATGAGAGTGAGATTGCTGAGGTTAAGGTCAAGGGGGTCAAAAGTAGGGTTGAGAGGACAAATATGGTTGAAAAGAAGCAAGAGAGGATAAGTTTTTTTTAAAAATATGTTTTTATTGGTTTTTAGAGAGAGAGGAAGGCAGAGGGGGAGAGATAGAAACATTGACTGGCTGCCTCCTGCATGCCCCCTGCCGGGGATCAAGCCCACAACCTGGGCATGTGCCCTGACCAGGCCAGGCCAGTTGAGAGATTTTGAGATGGACAGAGAAAGATGGTGGTGATTCAGAGCAATCAGACATCTTTGTTTGCCTGGAACTGTCCTGATTTTAAGACTGAAAGTTCAGTGTCCCAGGACACAAAAGTTCTTGCTTTTCAGTCATGTGTGTATAGAAGGTTGAAAGGAAAATATAGAAACCGCGAGATGATACAGAGATGTAATTGTAATGTACAGTACAGGGAACAGAATTTTCTAGAATTTTAGAATGCCCTGGCATACCTAGCCATGAGATCATAATAATATTGTAATAACTATATATGGTAACAGATGGTTACTAGACTTATTGTGGTGATCACTTTGTAAAGTATATAAATGTTGAATCACTATGTCGTAGAGCTGAAACTAATATAATATATGTGTAAACTATAATTAAGAATACATTTCTTTAATTGGAAAAGAGAAAATAGAAACCATGAGATGGAACAAGAAAATAAACTGAAAGCATTAGTTTTCAATTTTTAGTGTGAAATATGTATGGCATAGTTTATCTGCTCTCCTTAGTGGCCATTGCTCTTTTATCTCCTGACTCCTTATACGGACAACCATGGATTCACAATAATTGATCATCCATTGTTGCATCACACCAACTAATACAATATAAGTGTGTAGTTAAGTGTGTTGTAATCCTGAGCATTACCAGTCTTCTTTTTTGGCTTTGTCTGTTGTATTTTACAAGGAAATAGTGCTAGTTTAATTTTAACATTATAAATATTTTGACTAGGTTTTCTAAGATTCAGATAAAGGAAATAAAAATTACAATACAAATGCTAGTATGATCCACATATTATTGAAAAAGAAAGCTAAATGACTATGTTATTTTAATGACAGATGGAAGGACACGTACAGCTGGACTAGGGAGTTAAATAACCAAAACAGAGCATACTACGAAATATACAAAAAAGAACTTGAGATTGGGCATGGTGGAGATGGGAATGTGAAAATACGTATGAAGACTGAATCTCACAGGTCCAGGAAGAGACAGGCAAGTACTTGTAAATTAATCAGGTTTACTTGTCTCTCCTTCAAAACACCGATGTTCAGTTATAAGTAGCAGTTGTCTAGTTACCTTGTGTATATCACACTAATGAGAACATGCATTATCACACTATGCCCTTAATTGCTCAATGAATCTGAGCAAAGTTATATTTTTCTTCACTTGATCTTAGCCAGAGGCTAAGAAGCAATGAGGTTTTTTTTTTTTTGTTTTTTTTTTTTTGATATTTTAGAGAGAGGAAAGGAGAGAGAGAAACATTGATGTGAGAGAGAAAGACCCATCAGCTGCCTTCTACACACCCCCTACTGGGGATTGAGCCCACAACCTGGACATATGCCCTGATGGGGAATTGGACTGGGACCTCTCAGTCCACTGATATGACGCTCAATCCACTGAGCCACACTGGCTGGGCTTTGTTTTTTAATCCTCACCTGAGAACATGCTTAGAGAGAGGAAGGGAGAGAGAGAGAAACATTGATGGGAGATAGAAACATCAGTTTGTTGCCTTCCCCATGCTCCCTGACAAGGCATCAAACCTGTGACAGAGGTATGTGCCCTGATGGGGAATCAAACCAGTAACCTTTCAGCACACAGAGCAACTCTCAACCAAGTGAGCCACTCCAGCTGGGCTTACATTTTTCTAATCCAAAGGTTAGAACTAAAATAATCCTGTGGGCAAACTAAATGGGTATTTTGGTAGCATAGATTTGTTGACCCCTTACAATATAGAGCTAAGTCTGTTAAATCTTACCAAGGATCATGCTTTCTGTAGTGTAATGAGTCATGGCAACAAAAACATGTTCATCTTAGCTCTTAGGTACTCTGATTTGAAAATAGAATTTC